TATGTGTGTATAACTGTAGTATACCTGCTGGCCATTCAATTCGCGAAGGACGCTAGTTAATCGCAATATAAAATTTAATTCAAAGGCTTGCACACCCACAGGCGCAGAAATAAAACAGGAGTAGTATGTGTGAGTGTTTGTGAGCGCATGAATAGAGTTGTTCGACCATGTATGAAAGGGTGTGTCGGTGTGGGCGAACATGTGCAACTGCAGGTGAAAACGGTGGGGTGAACCGCAGTGGTCGGGTCAGTTGTGCATAAAACAGTGTGGAACAGCTGTAATCCTTTATCGTGGACAATCGGCGAAAGACGCTGGGCCTGGTGTGTGCGTGGTGTAGATTCGTTCATCCAGTGGTGTGCTGCCAGCATTGCCAATGAAACATCTATTTGCTCCAGCGATGATTGCGGATGCAATACAGCAAATGTGTACCGGTTATTTAAGTGTGTGTAAGAGAGAGCGTGGGGTGTGTGCGTGTGTGGAGACGATGTGTAATAAAGCATATTTTCCCAACTACCAAAAGCTAATTTAATCAAAATTAAATTTTTGCGATAGACACCGTTGTGGATGACCTAAATTGAGTACAAAGGTGCACGATAATCAACCTAAGGGGGGAGAGAAATATTTTGAAGGAATCGTGCTAGTTGTTAAGGCTTAATTGCTCGATACGAAAACTTTATAAAGCGATTAAAAAGTATGAAATTATTTTTATTAGTTGTTCTGTTTTATTTGATTTGTAATTTAGAGTGACTTAAAAAGAGTTATGATAACAAAAGTGTGTGTCCACCGATGTGGAGTTACACATGCGCCAAACGCTAGCGAAAGCCTGCCTAGCAATGGCAATATTATTAATAGGTTATATTTAAGATTTATAAGTAAAAAAGTCATACCTGCGCTATAATAAGAAAAAGTAAGGCTGTGCAAGGCACTAAGTCGTGTAAATACCCTCCGGTGTTGGCAAGACTTTATTTTAAAAAGTAAGGCCCTTTCTTACACTTAAGTTCGAATGAATTTGGTTGAAATTGATCAAGTAGGTCCAATGGTATGTAATTTCACCTAAAGATGGGCGTTGCTCCTATAAAGCTCTCTCATACCATCCTGGGTGTAAAATTTAATGTCTTTGTTTTTGACAAAACCCTTAGTGGGGAGTTATCCCATTTCAGCTAGTTTCACACTGTCGTAAGAAGTCTCGAAATTATTTGTGAATAACGAAAAAATATACTATGTATTATAAGTGAATCATACCTTTATCTGAACTTAGAACTAACTTATACGTACTGTGATTCTTTTTTCACGAAGACCACATTTCACGCACCAGGCAGTTAAGCATTCTTGCCAAGACCTCAACTTAAAGGGCCCTGTTTAGTGCATAGAAATAAATAAATTCGCCGGGTCTTAGAAAAACTATTTCCAGCAAAAAGACCGGAAAGGAGAAGAAATTTCGGTCTTTAAAAATTTAAAATCGATTGGCCTCATAAAAGAACTGCTGCGAAAAAGCAACTGTTAATTATATATAAATTTTTATAAATCATTTATGGCAGTGATGTTCTTATTTTTATAGAAAATTGATTATGTGATAACTTGAGCTCTATGCTGATTCAGTATTAAGCAATAGATATTCAATAGTATTAGGGATAGTAAAGTATTGAAACTCAATGACCGCAAATAAAAAGAATATAGTTTTGTCAAAATTGTTAACTTTTTGAAAACTTTTACCGTCAAAAGGATGGCATCGAATTTTGAAATTGAGCTTATTGAAATATCAACTATAGTATGTAACTTACTAACGAAGTAAAAAATATGGTGTTCGTCTACGTTTTCCTTTTGTTTGAATGGCGTAGGAATAACATTTTTTGATCAAGCTTATACGATAGAAGTTTTAATAACGAGAGAGTATCTTTGAAATGGAATATGTTTTTTTCATATAACGGATTTTGAGCCCATATAGTAACCGCAATTTGACCAAAAAATATTAAACACCATTGAAGTGAGAGGAAATCCGTCCTTCTTAAGAATATTATAAATAACTAACGCACTTATAACTATGACTATATATACGTACTTATAACTATAACTATATACTTACATATATTATTGATAATTTTTAATAACCCCTCGAAACAAATATGCGATAGCTTCCGAAACTTCAAAAAATTTAGAAATTACTTTTTTACTTATGACGTAATCTCTGGAAAAAATTAGATTTGGACCGACACCCAGAAAAAAATAAATGTCGGAAGATCCCAATAATCGGTGTATCGTGTTCGATTTCAAAGAGTCATGAACACTATAAATATTCAAATAATCAAAGCAATTGTCTTGATAGAATGAATCACAATAAAAATTTATTTCTACATTTTTCCAAGTTATCCTCCGAATCTAAATATTTGCCTCTAGAAATTGTAATGTATTGAAAAAGTAAGAGCAGTATCCACTTTCTCCTCTTATTTAAAGGGTGTACAACATTTTTTGATACAAGCTTTATGACAGATGATATAAGGTGTTGAATGTCGGTAGGTTCTACGAAAAAAGTAAAAATTGTACATTTAAAATATTAATATGGTTAGGAATATATATAATGATATATACATATTATATATAAAACTTTAAGAAAAATTATTAAATTAATAAAATTAATGTTTTTATGAAAATTAAACTGAATTTATTGATTGAGGGACAACGTCGATTTCAGTCTCAGGAGATATATATCACACGAAAAAGGTTTAGCTCGACAAAACTACGAGTCCAAAGGCAAAGTAATAGATAATGAAAAGGTCTAAAACTTTTGTATCTATACGATTTTCACATAACCTTAAAATTTATGTTGGAAAATCAAATATTCAAGTACAAAAAAAAAATACTTTCACGAAATTTGGTTTAAACTTACCTTCTTATGTACCAAACACACTGTAGTTTTATACTCTTACTATTGTTAAAAAGTGTAATAATTTTGTTGACCTAACGGTTGTTTATACCACCTAAAAATAATCGAGGCCGTCCGCCTGTCCAAGCGATAACTTGAGTAAAATTTAAGATATCTTAATAAAACTTAATACCCGCTCCACAAAACTCCATTAACCGAAAACCATAATATGCCATAACTAAACCCGTGTGGGCTGAAAATGTTGAAAAAATAGGCGTGGCATAACCCTCTGGTATGTTTAAAAAATATATCTCCTAAGCATCTAGTTGACTTTATATCTTATATTATATATAATATTAGTTATAGTATGTGAGATACCTTAATCAAACTCAAAGAGCATCTTTTTCTGTTAGCAATATGTGGTAGTGCCTACCTTCCATATAACTCTTTCAACCTTCTGGTTGACTTTATACCGTATATATTGGTCAATATCTATATGTGATAATATATATAGGTATATATATAATATGTGATATTGGACTACGAATTACTCAATACTCTAACATACCCTAGCTGAATATGTCGGCCGATGTATGATTTATATATTTTTTAAATTGCTTGATAATATGCTCTTGAATATACCTAAGTAATGTCAAAAGTCAGTGAAAGCAGACCACATCTTTACTGCCCCCAATATACACCATATAATGATATGCGACTTCCTACTTGTCTTTAAAGGTTTAGGTTTGTAAAAATGTGTGATATTTTATTGAAATTAAGTGGACAAGCTTTCTTAAAACTTATGTGGTTTAGTACTTAATGTGAACGGAATTCGTTGAGACCTTAGTCCAAACCTCATAACCTCAACATCAAAACCAATTCTCTGGTTGACATTTTGCACCCCAACTCAATATATTAAATTTAGCCTTTTCGGTTGAGTTTATGTCAGATATATTTTATTTGAAAATGATTTTAATATAGTTTTCGCTGACGGGAAGTACAGTATGGTTATAAAACTAATTAAATTTCTGAATAATAATATAAGTTAAAAAGAAACAAGTTTGATTGTAGTTAGAACATGCAGTTTCGTTAAACAATGAGTGTTGAATTCAACGCTTTTTGAAATAAACCTAAAGTATGTCCCCGGCTTTGGTCCTTGCAAATTGTGAGAGTATAAAATGTTCGGTTGCACCTGAACTTAGTTCTTAAAATATTTTCTTTTTCTTATTTTCACTTAATATTTGAAAAAATCCTAATGTTCAATCAAAAATTCTTTAGTTGTTATATCAGATCTTTTTGAAAACTCAGTAGGCTCTATGTTCGTTGAAATCTCTAATGGCTGATGGTATAAAATATGCCTGCACAGATCTAAATGAGCGGTGTGGAATCATAAAGTAACGACTAAGCATATTCTGCGATATCCCCTTTTTGTCTGCCTATTCTAATGTCGCTTACCGTGGAACAACTTGCCAACGGCAAAATAAAAACAACTGTGAGGAATTTTTTTTTTATTTTACAAAATTTTTTTGGTTTGCTTTTTATTTTATTCGTGTCAATATTTGATTTAAATGTATATATATATAATATATATATTTATTTTGTTTGTCAATTGTTGCATTGACTTTACATTTTTAGATTTTGTTAATTTTTTTGTTGTTGCTGCTTGTGTTGCATATTATATATAATATAGTTTCACTTACAGTTTTACATAATATATATAATCTTCACGGCAACTGCGCTGTGTTTTTTGCTTATTTATTTAATATTTTGTTTACTAATTATACTTGCGGAATATTTATATATGTATGCTTCAACTGTTCACAGCAACATCATGCATGTTGCATAAACAACACACCCAAATTGGGCTCGTGAAGTTGCTGGCTGTTTTCTGCGTTTGGTTTTTTATGCCATTTGTTGTTGTTTTTTTGTTAATTATTTTATATATTTAATTATCATTATATATATACTGTTTTTTTGTTCTAACGCGTGGGTATATTTTTTTTGTTGTATAAGTGTGCTAGTGTTTTGTATATGGTATATGTGTCTGTATTGTGATTCGGCAACAGTTATAATGTAGCAACTGCTTGCGAAAAATCTTAGCCTTTCCTTGTTAAAAACATATTTTGGTTACTGTTTACCGTTATATATTTTTTTTTTTTTAGTTATGCGCCTAGTGTTAAATATAGTTGAATGCTCTTTTCTCTCAATATATGGTAATTAAATTTTGTTGGGAGCTCACCAAATATGGCCATAACAAAATTTTTTTTTTCATCTGATACAATATTTAAGTTTCTTTAAATATATATTTTTTAACAGTTTTTGTTAATTTTTTTGTAATTAAATATTCGCCAATTGTATAAATAATTATTAATTGTATATTATGCGTTACTACATGTTTTTTAATTTATCATTATGTCTAGATTTATTCTCAGGCTCATTGCATGCTTCTCGGCTTGTCGCTTTTATCCTATTTTTAACTTGCTTCAATATATTTTTGCTTAGATCTTATTTTCTATGTTTGCTGCGGTTAGACGCTCAACCGTCACTTAAATGCCTACAAAATAATTGCAATACTGCAGTCAATATGCTACTTTTTATTTGAATCAAACTACTCGCGTTCCCCACTTTTCACTGATGTTTTCCTACAGTTTCGACACCAATACATGCTAAAATATTATGTTTATTTCCAAGTTGCTTGTTGACTTCTGCTTTTCCGTTGTATACTTGTATTTATATATGTATTTATGTATATGGTTACTGCGTTGTGCATGCCTGTTTTAACGGTAATTAATTTGATAATCAGTTATTTCATATCTCTTTTTATTTTAATTTCTGATTCAATATATGATTATTATTTTTTAATTATTTTCTGTCTGGGCTTTTACACTTCCTCTTTTTCGTTTTATACTTAGCAAATGTGCCACAGCAGATACGAGTCTCATATGAATACAAAATACTTTAAAGAAATTATTTCTCAACGTTAGAATTTTCCAGTTAGTTGGCAGCTCAAAAGCTTCAGACACATTCTAAGAATTACATTTCATTTAAAAAAAATAAAATAAACTATAAAAATATTACATGTTGTAACGAATTGCGAAATTTCGAAAATTTGAATACTCATACATTTAATCCATATCTTCTGAAGCACTTTACTCAGTAATAATTACTTTTAGTTTAATTACAGATATACATATATTTTTTTGCTCTCACATTAGGTTTTCAATTGCATTTACACACGCTTCTTAATTCATGTATTATTAATATATGCCTATATAGTTTTGTCTATTTATACTTGTTTATTTTTGGTTTACTGCTCATCATTTTGATTTCAATATTTGCAATGGTTGTTTTTGTTATTTATAAATGTTAGCTTTTTAAAAAATTATATTTATTTTTGTGTTTTGATTCAAAATTGCACTCATTTCTTTAATAAAACATTGATTTCACAGTACACATTCATTCTTGTTATACAAATATAATGAGCGGGAAATTGAATTTATGCTAATAAATGCAGCTGCTAAAATGAGTTTTTGCTGTTCTGTTTATCAGTATTATATTTTCAAAGCTCAGAACCATTTATTAACCATTAGCTTTTGCTACGTCTGGAAATATATTAGCTTTTTATGAAAGCAAAGTGAAAGCTTTCGAAAGCTCGATCGACGTTAATGAAAGCTCAGTTTTACATTTTATACACTGAGTGCAATCGACAGTACATTAATATTTGATAAAAATGTAGTGAAAGTGTTCGAAGGCTCTGTCAACTTAATTGTGGCTAAAGTTTGCATCAATAAACATTTCATGATAAAGCACCCGTTTTTATATGATTGTTTACAAAAGTTAACTTTTTTGAAGAAAGTTAATCAACGGCAATAAAAATTTTGCATGTATCCGTAATCCTTTATCAGATGTTTAACTTTTTAGCTTAAAACTTTTATAAACAAGTTATATATTTTTCGTTAAGCTTTCACTAAACTTCGAAAGTGAGATCATGCAAATAATGCATTGAATTTCGTAAAGCATCGAATGTTACAACAAATCGCTTAAGCTTTCCTATTCACTGAAATTTTTATCTTCGCAGCTAAATATTTGGCCTCCAATTAAGTTAATATATTTGACAACTGAAATACAATAATTCTACAATTTCATTAATTTTGCTTTATTTTCGCCAAGCTTGAAATAATAAACTCTGTGGGCACCGATCTATCAATACATCAATTGTAAGTTTCCCCAAATATAATTGGTTTATAAATTTATACTTAATTTTTAAGCTCTTAGGGACTCAGAAACTATTAAAATGAAAATTAATTTTTCAAATGAGCTTTCACCATTTAATACAGAGCTTCCATGAAACTGTTTTTCCAACATGTAACTTCCGAAAAAAAACTATTATATATTCACTTCCTCGCTCATTTTATCGTACATAGCCTCACTTTTATTAGATGTGTCAGTTTGCTTCATAAAAATTTTTGATTGCTATTCTGATTTAGTTTTGCACACTTACTAATATTAGGTATGTGTTGGCTATTATTGTTTAGCTTTGTTAGTCAAATATTTGCCTTTCTGTGTAAGCTTCTTTTTCAATTTCACAATTTCACCAGTAAACAAATAGTACGCATACAAATAAACATTACAATATTGTTTAATTCATAACTTGTTGCTATTATTACGACGTGTGTGTAAGTATGTGTGTATGTGTGTTTACGTAGGCTTTCTTTTGTTTTACACACAGATATATGCATATATATGCAGTTGTTTACATTGTAATGCGTATCAAATATTTCTAATATATTATTTTGGTTGGTTTTTGTTCTATATAGTATATATGTTGTTGTTTTTTTGTTTGGTTTTTGAAAACTTTTACCTCACTGCCGGCAACTACCATATTTTTATTAATCTCATTTATACTATGTCTGTATACACTTATACTCGTATATGTATGTTTGTATGTATGTATATGTTTTGTAATTTCACTTATTTAATTTTTGTGTTTGTATAAGTATATATCTATATATATGTATATATATATGTATTACACATATGCTAGTTATTTTGCTTGTGATTGGTTTTTTTGTTGTTGTCTCTGCTACTTCTATTGCATAGGTATAATACTCTTATATGATTGGGTTCGGTTTTCATATTTGTATTTGTAACTTTGATTTGCCTTCAGTTTTTACAACGCCAACACATTGCTCTGGGTTTCCATTAATTATCTTAGATGTGGCATCACTGTTTTACTGCCCGTCGTCACTCAGCATAAATGCTCTGGGATTCATCTACTGCTGCATCACTGTTAAGCTACTCGGCTATTCAATTACACTACCGTTACTACCATTCAAATCTTACTAAATTGACTAGAGTACTTAAAATAATTCTGCTGCTTCTTCCTCTGCTTGCCTTTACTACTATACATATATAATATACTATTTATATATGTGTGTATGTATTGATTTTATTCTCCTTTTAAGTTTAGGTATATGTGTAAATATCGAGTTATGCATATGTAGTTATGTATAGGTGTACCTGCATAAATATTTATTTTAGAAAAAAAATCAAAAAACCGAATCATGAATTCACTACCGTTGCACACATACATATTAATAATTAATTAACTAAGAGCTTAGTAAATATGTATGCAAGTACTTTAGATTAGTTTAGTAGTATAATATTTCAGTGATTATGGAACACTTTCAGTTAACATGCCGATGCTTCGTTAAAGGAACGTTACGTTGAAAAGCCAATGATTTGGAGAGTTATGGTTCGGTTGTTAGTGTTTTATTTCCAATTCTTATGAGGCAACGGAAATTAAGAGTAATGAAAAGCTACGAAAGAAATGAGCATACTACTTGCTAAATGATTCTAATATCTGCCAGTGTTAGAAACCTAAGTAAATTTAAAATTTTACTGTTTCGCTGTAATGAAAGTTCAGTTTTTAAGCAAAAATTTCCAAATTGAAGTAAGCCCAAGTTTTAAGTACTCCATCTGATATATCAGCGTTGCGAGCTTTAGAAGTAGTGAAAATTAACGCTTGTTACTATGAAATATGTACATGGAATTTGCACATATAATATAATTATAAAAGAATAGATGTGCTGAAAAACTTCTTAAAGCTCGAAAAGCCGCGAAGACTAATCATGTTATAAAACCAAATATTTAATTTTTCCGTCTGAAAGTTCAGCTTTGCAAACTTTGGAAGTAGTGAAAGCTCTTGAATTGATGGATTTAAAAACCTTTAACACTTTGAAAAATAAGAACGTGCTTAAGAAATTTTTGAAGCAAAAGTCAAGATTTTGTTAAGAAAGGCGCAGAAGCAGATTTAAGCTTATGGAAAGCTTTCACCTTGTAGTTGACGCTATTTTGCCACACTCGCTACATACATTTTGTAGCAGCTTCGGGCTTTTAGCACAACATATGAGTAGAAAAAGCTTTTTGGGCTAATTTGAAGCTTTCACTATAGCTTAGCGTTTACCCAAAAATTTAAATTTAATTGTATGTGAATGAAAATAAATTATATATTAATTTTAGTAATAATACAGAAAATATAACGCTGCCACTAAGGAGTGTTACTCAATATATTTAATATAAAAAAATTACTTACTTTTTCATACCCGAAATTATGTATGTAGGTAGGATATACATAAGTGATTATATGTGTGTGGCGATATTTTACACTTTATTAATTAATTTTTTCGCTAACTCGCCTGCTTGCATGTAGGCATATAAGTGTACTTTTTTGTACAATATATGGAACTTAACACTTGTATATCATTTTTGTTTATTGGCTAAAATATATAATTATGCACACCTTTTCCTCTAACGTATATCAGCAAATTCTATTATACCTATAAATTGCACACATATATATATGCATTAATATATATATTTATTAGCTTATATGTATATAGAGTAAATTCTCCAACGTAGCACAATCAATGTGGATGTTGTATGTGTGTGTGTGCTTTTTTTATTGTAAAATATTTGTTTTTATTGCAGTTGGGATTTTTCATTTTCATTTCACTGTACTTATATAGTCTCATATATGTATGTATTTGTTGCAGCTATTAAATTATATAATATATAATATTTAATTTCCTTCGTAATTTATTAGCCTTTAGACCTTTTTTTCTTGTTTTTGCTATATAAATTTTGTAATTCCCAACAAACACACTTACTCATGTATTATTTTCCAGTTTTTGTTTCATTTATATCATGCCTTAATTTTTTCTTTTATATATTACATGTTTATGTATATATATTTTTCTATTATTATTTTATTTATGTATATTTTTTTGTGGTTTTAATTTTTCATATTACTCACTGATATGTAGCGCAAACTTTAACAAACAATTTTTTAATGCATTTTCGTAAACTGCAACACACGCTTCTTCTTCTGCCTGCTTAAGACTAATACTTTTGCAATTTTTTATTATATTTTCTTATTGCAATGCTTACATATGTATACTGGTATTTTTTCACGTAAGTTTTGTTTCTAATTTACGTCACTTTGCTGTTTGGCTAATTCTACTAGGGTTATGTACTATTTATGCATGTATATAAATACATATGTAATTGTATATACATCCAGTAGATTTATTGTTGTTAAATAATGTTTCCATAATTGTTTTCTACTTTCCACTTTGCTTACATTTCTAGCTTTCTGACATCCCTCTAGCGATTAAAATTTCCCAAATGTGCTTTTAGCGTTCAAATTTTTATGTATTTCTTAGATGCGTGTGTATTTATTCTTATTTACCCAGTATTCTTGCGGCTCATTTCTATCAAAATTTATATTTTTATGAATACTTAATTATTATTTTATTTGAACAAAATTCATACAAATAATTTAAGCAAATTCGGCCGCTCCACATTTTTTAATAATTTATGCTATTCTAACCTCAAACTAAATGAAATTTTTTTCTTTTAAATTTCCACAAAAAAAAAATCAACGCTTATACTTGTACATTCTATAGTACGAACTATTTGGATTTTAGGCAACAAAATCTTTTTTATATAAACTGCCGATTACATCTTAACTGTTGGTTTGTTAACAACAAAAAATTTTTATATTTTTTTGTTTTTTTTGGCAGATTGCACGTTTTGCTAACGTGTATATATGTATGTACACATAGCATATATGGATTGCTCCTGAACTAGTTTTATGTACGAATATGCTTATTTAGTCCCTCATATCAATAGCTAAATATTATATGTATATGTGTGTGTGTATGTATATCCTGGCGTGCTATTGTATGCGTAGAAACATCGAAGAGCCTCATGTGTGTATGTATTCATGTCTAAGCCTCGAATAACTCGGTGTAACACTAAAGCTACAGCTATTTTTGTTAGTTTGTATATGTGTGTTTGTGTTACTCACCTCTAATTTTTAATTCGTTTGCTCAAGTACTTATTAATTTCACTAACTTGTGCTACATTTAAGAATACTACAATTGTGTTTTTTTTTTGTGTTTTGTTTTTGCTACAATCTACATACCTTTGCTGTTACTCACATCCATATATGAACTTATATGGTGCTATGTTCGAGTACGTATGTATATAAATTGGTTTCATAAGTTTATGTATATATACTGCATATATATAAATATGTTTTAGCATATACAAATACATATATGTTTATGTACACATACTAGCATGTTTTCCTCAACTTTTCTATACACACACAAAATAATTATAACGTCTTACATATTTATGCACATAAACATATGGAATTTTATTTTCTTAATTTTTTGTTGTTGTTATTTGCAGTTTATACATTTTTTTGTAATTACTTCAGCTTTGCATTTTAATTGATACGTAATTATACATATGTTTGTTTTACCTGCTGTTAAAAAACCGATTATCAAGGTAACTCATATATGGGTGTTGATTGTGTATAAATTGCGGAATGTCTGTATGTAAGTATGTACGTGGTGTAATATGACTTTTGATATAACTAAATACCAGATAGTTAAATAATAATTAAATAAATATATTTGTATTTTCATATTATAATTTTTTGCTGTCTCATATAATCTAAGCCCACCCAGTGTACATATGCAATGATCTATTTTCCACCACGTTTTCTCTAGTGGACAATGCGCATTCTCAGATACCCGTAGAGCGGAGTATCAAAGGAGACCCAAATGAGTCCACCTGCCATCGTACATTTAAAGTTGTGTCCATTCACTTTATGGAAGATTTTGCGGGAGGATCTTGCTTTGCGGGCTTGCAAAGCTCAACTCGTGCCAAACGAAACCAATTATCTTTATAATTAAGCGAAATTCTCGGTCATAACAATAAACTAATATTCTTGAAGACCACTTGTCTAAAAAAGACACATTTTATTATATATATATATAATTGGAATGCTAATATAAAGTTCTGAAATATTTTTTATGAAATAATATACTGTTATATCTGCCTCATAAACATCTGCATGAATAATTTTTTTCCTAAAAAATTTATGAAACTTTTATCTTTATGGCGCCATTGTTGTTTAAAATTTTCTACGATAGTATTTAGAAATCTCAAAATGATCTATGTTTAAATTAGAGAACATGATAATTAGATGGTCTTCTAGACTGAGCTGTTAAAGCCGTTTGCTCCGAATCTAATGGAATCTAAATTGCAAACTCCTTCAGGAGCATTTAAGCTCCTTAAAAATATGAATTTCATGGGATAAAGCTACGTTTTTAAATTGATATATGGATATAACACAAAATATATCAAACCACTAAATATACATATTTGTATCAATATAAATTAAAAAGTTTAATGAATATATTCAGAAGTTCCTTATTTGAAATTGTTGTGTTTTTAAGTGATTTACCTCTCGCGGCATTTTAGTATTAATTTTTGTCTTTAAGTAGCAATTATTTATTTTCTAGTGCAAACATATCCATTATACACTTCCGGTTACAGATCTCCTACACACAAACATATATATAACATATGTATAGGTAGTTATATATAGATAAAGTATTTCTTGAATGCATGACTCTATATAATTACAACATAACTTCACTTATAACTAACATATTAAATTTGCTGCTAACCATTCATCTTCTGGCAACTGAAAAACAAATAGAGAAATTAAAATAAATAACAATATGCGCTTAACAATATATAGTAAATATTTAGAAGTTCGTGAAATGTTATTCAGTTTGGCTTACAGAAGCTCCCATCTGTATACTTATATGTATATATATATGCATGAGGGTAGTACTGAAACTGCAGAGAGCGATTGTTTTTCAGTCTCAAAACAGATTATAGGTATAAATGATTCATGTAACAGCACGATCTTTTAATTCACATATTACGTCATTACAGTTCTCAACTTAAGTGCATTTTGATTGAAGTTTTGAAATTCGGTATTGTTGATATCAACTCAATTCTTCTAACAAAATTTTCGGTTGATGTGTTATCAAAATTTAATGATTTTATGGTATTACGGTTTTAACTTTGTGCCAGTAGGGTTGACTACAATCTCAAACAAGAAAAAATGTTAACTTCGGTTGAACCGAGGCTATAATACTCTTCACAAATACGAAAGATTTTTTACAAGAAATTGTTTCCGATCGCTCAGTTTGTATGGCAGCTGCATACTACATCTAGTTATCCGATCTGAACACTTTCTGCGGAGATTGCATAACTGCCATGCCAAAATAATGAATCTGCAACAAACATTATTCAAAATCCTTTAATTGCCAATAAAACTTTGGCTGCCTTGTTGTTGGGAAGCTCTAATGGATTTGAATCAAATAATAATTTGTTTTGTTTGCAGTTTGTGTGATCAGAAATACAGAAATACTGTGGATTAGAGGCAGACATGGCTTTTCGTAATGGTTTCGTAGTTAAAATTATCACCATAATAGAGATACAACTATACATTATAATTGTGAAATTATTGACCGCTTTTTGTAAACTCAAACAAATTCGAAGCTCAAACAGTCGAAGGTATTATTGAAAGAATATTAAGGCGAAAAAACCGAAAATGTTGTACATGAAGCATATCTCGGTCAGGATTCTTCTACTAAACTGTTTATGTAACGCCTACTCCAGCAACCTTCTTTCATGCGAGAAAAACAATTTAATTTTTTAATTTATATTTGCAAGTGGATAACCTCTATAAGCCAAGCTTAATATTTACTCAAAATTATATTTCACCACATTCGCGCATCCATTACATATACATATGTACGTTATTCACCTTAAAAGCTTTAAATAAACCGAAAAAATTGGAGTTGACCGAATGGAAAAAGTTTACAAATATATTTTAATAAGAGGTGGAAAGCAAAATCAAAATAACAAAAAAATAATTAATTTATTGTAGCAAAGCTATATTTATTTCAAGGATGTACTAGGTACTAGGTACTGTTAAAAAGTTGGGGGACTAGAGCAGGAGCAAGTGACTGCTAGTTGCTAAGTTGTTAGTTAGAGTTTCGATTGCTCACAAAGTAAAAATTTTGAGCAGTTTTATAAATAGGGAACATAAGCAAGTGCAAAATACTCATAAGGTGAGGTGTAGAGTAATTCATAAAATCTCTAATGGAATAAGAAGCTGATTTTTATGGAATATACAGTTGCTAAAAATGGTATGTCTGATTTCGATTTTAAGCATTCGAAGATGTAATGGTTGTTACTTGCGGTTTGAATCATTAGTACGATTAACTGTTGAAATATATTGATAATACTAAATGTTTTTTGTTTAAAGCCAAAAGGATGTGATATTATTAAAGGAGTTGTATTTACTTCATGAAATTATGCGAAAGAATTGATTTTTAGTTGTTTACCATGGTAATTAGTTGTTTTCTTTTTAAAAAGCGAATTCTAGAAAATGACAAAAAACGAGCTACTGAGGCGAAAGTTTTGTGATAATTTCAGCTGTTGATTCTGAACTTTTTAAAAGCTTTTGAGAAAACTTCAACTTCTTTTCCATTCAAAATTTTTTCCTCTGTATTCTGCATATTTGCTTTGTATGTATATCACTTTTACCTAACTTCAACATATTTTGCTGTAATTACTCGCTTTCACTTAACCACTTTAGTAATTTTATGAAAAATTCAGCCTAGATCTCCTAAAACAATAAGTTTATTGAGCGATACAATTAAGCTATCTCGCTAAGCTATCCTCAAAGTGTCCTTGATGAGAGGCAAATCGACTTGATAATCAATTACGTTCGCAATTACTGCGCCCCTGTGTGTATACCATACAAATATGCATAGGCCATTAATTACTTGAAAACGGTATATTCGAGCTTTGATTACAAAGTAAATCTCTGCGAGTGTTTCGTGAATTGTTTAGATAATTCTATATTGCAGCAGATAATATGAGGAGCTAACATATATACCTATGTCTCTCTCAATGGGCAGTAATTAATTAGGAAATTTGGTATTGAGTTCGCCACGTTCATTGATGATTTCACTGTCACTCCTCCTTTCTGCTTCACTCGCGCTGCATATTGTTCAAGGTTAGAATTACCGACAGAATTATTAGGAATGACGGATAATTTTTGTATTTTGCATATAACTGATTGATTGTTGGCGGGTTTTTGAGTGGATTAAATAATGAAGTGGTTAAAAAAATAATATTGCAGTGTGTAAGTAAATGAATAAAATGTATAGAATTGTATATTTGTCAAGTTCAATTGACAAATTAAGTAGTACAAAATAAGATTTTAGTAGCTGTAAAGTGTTATTGAATTTAAATAAATATATTTTAGTTGCTCGAGTTTTAACTGATTAGATATTAGTTTCGAAAATAGCTTTTAATGATAGTTTTTGAAAGTATAAGCCCTCAGAAAAATCAACTAAAATCAGCAGCTTTTAGTTAAAGCTTTTGAAATCATCAGCTTTTTATGAAAGGGAGCTTTTGAAATCGTGAGCTTTTAATTAAAAGATTTGAAGTTCAAAGCTTTTGATGAAAGCTTTTGATTTCTCGAGCTTTTAGTGAAAACTTTGAAAATTTTTAAAATATTTTGTCATGACCTTGGAATAATTTCGCACACAAATCATAAAGAACTCTCTTAAGCTTTTGCTTCAAATATTCGCTTTTTGCTGTAAGCAACATCAGTGTTTTGTTTTTTAGTTATTTTAGAATTAGTAAACAAATTCAACTACTAAACTTGTTTTTAGGTTAATTTTAGTTTTTTGTTGTGTTTTAATTATTTTGATATTAGTCATACAGGCACTAGTGCAATATTCGTTTCAGATTACTTTAGATTACGAATGGTTTTTTGTTTTGTTATATTTGTATGTAGTTAGTGTGTATTTATTTTCAGGATTGCTGCGTACCAATATGGACTTATGGTTTTGGCCTAGGAGTGTAAGCACACAATAGCTAATTATAACCAATAAGTATAAAGGTATGAATGTGCTAGTGTCCTTGCAAACGAAACGCAAACAAAAAAAATCATATCTGCTGTGAAAGCTGGAAAAATCATCAAATCGCCTGCGCTTCGCACTAACCCAGTCTATATATATGTATACGGTATATTTGTATATATGAGTATGACATTTACTGCTATGTATTGTTTTAGACACCTATTATGTATAACTGTATGTATGCGTGCAAATATATATGCTTGCGAGCGCTTTTCAGCTGCAGCGCCTAAAACTAGATGTCATAAGTTTGTATGCCAGCTATTTTTGGTGCGAGTGTGTTGTATATATACCATATGTGTTTCAGTGAGTGTGTATGTGTGTATTTGCTTTTTTAATTTTAAGCAAAAATCGCTAATTACATATACATATTCACTTTTCAATACACATACACTACATAGCAATATTTCTATTAAAACTGCACTTAATCGCGCATAAGCTCTCTGGCCGACTTCGATGTTGTAGTGGTGGTGGGCAAACATTGCAAACCAATTAAACCCACATCATTCTCAATGTGCGTGTGTTATTCTGTCGCTTTTCTTTATCATCCTCCTACTTTTTGGCCGTCATACGTTATGTTTCTACCATTTCTACCGTGTGCTACTAATTTTAAATACGTACACAAATCTATTTTGATTTTATAAATACTATTACAATTATTTAATTTTTTTTTTTAATTTTAATTTTTTTTAGTTTTCTCTGCTTCTTCTTTCACACATTTCTTTTTATTGCACATACTCGCCGCCCTTTTATTTGTTATGTTTCTTCTATACATACATGTGTTTGCTTAGGTGTTTTTAATATTCTAATTTCACTTGTTTCTACTACATTTTACTTTCATTTTATTGCAGCAAAGAAATCGCTATTTATATAATTACTATATTTCAATATTTCATTTTCAACTTTCTGTGCAAAATTTTGCATTTACACTTTACAGTGTTTACTAAACTCACTAATTTTTCACTGTGCTTTGTGTTGCTTAGTATATTTACACATTTAATATTTTTTTATTAAATTTTTTTCGTATTTTGTTTTGAATTTTGTCAAAACTACCGCTATATATGTATATTTATTTATTTTTCATTTCTTTTTTACTTGTTAGTTCTTACAATCATCTATAACAATAAGCCTTAAACTAGTTATGTATTTTATAATGTCTTTTATGCTATCTTAAATGTGGGTTTACTGTGCCTGCAAAAGTAAAGGATAAACCTTAAAAAATAATATGAGGTGTTAGTAAAAATTGGAAAAAGTAGTAGGAAAAAATTTTAGTAAAATTTTAATGAATAAAATGTAGATAAAAATGGTGAAAATGCATATATTAACAGTTATTTATATGGAAATATTGTATATACAATACAAATATATGAGAGGTATGCAATTTTTTAAAACTGGAATAAACATACTGGTGGGTGCAATATAGAATTTCTATTTTTATACATGTTAGCATATTCTATATTAAAAGTTTTTATAATTTAACATAAGTGAAATATTGCAAAAAAACTTTACTATATATATTTATAATTAAACTTCAATACTATCCAGATTCGCAATATGTTTTGATGGATTCTTGGTATAATATATATTTTTAACATAAAAATGTAAATAAAAACCGACATGCCAAACAGCCTATATAAAAAAAATGTTCTTCTGCTTCACAAAAGTTTTGAACGTGAAATAATTTTTTTAAATGAACTTTAAAATTTTAAAGAAAAAAACGGCCCGCACGAATATAGTAACAGACTCTTTAGATTAATAAATGGATGTTTTCATGCCCAGTCTAAGGTTTGGCTTTGCTCAAACTACTCATCTTTTCTTTCAGTACTGCTTCCATACTTAAAATAGTATCGCCATTCTAACGTAACCTAAAAACTGTTACCCAGAATAAATTATTTTTTCTCAGTCAACCGACTTCCATTTAAAGCTTTGGCTAACTATTGAGCTTATGGTTGTGACATAGGCGCTAAAACGGAGTTAATCGAGGTCTCTATCTGTCACTAATATGACAAATAGTTAGGTAACGGTATGCATATCAAAATTAACATAAGTCGCTGTCGAATTCGCACAATTGTACCATAAATATTCGTGATGTCCTGAAAATTAAATTGAACATCAGTTCTTTATGACTTTAGTGTTAACTGTGCCATACTGTCTTGTTAAAAAAGTTAATCTGAAAATTATTGTATGAAGACGACGACTACCACTTGCACTAATTCTAGGCCGAAAATATTGCATACCTACTCTTGGCAAGTCTGCATGTATCATATCTTCAATATCATTTTGAACTATACTAAATCCCAGGCATTTACGTTCCATCGTCAGTGTCAGACTATTACATGGAACCTTATGAAACCTCTTAACCACCAAATTTATGCAAAATTCTGCTGGACGCTTCAATCAGTGTTGAATTTCCTTTCTCAAAGCTAGTAGTACGTAGTATATATAAAAGGCAATCATATGTATAAACTACTTTAAGCAGCTATGCAATAAAGCTTCGCTTATGTTATAGCGTTAAAAAATAGGGAGTGTCACATGTTTATAAAAAATTACTATGTGGATATAGATATTAATGCATATTGTTCAAAATAATTTTAACACGCTAAAAATCGTTAATAACGTAATGTAATTAAAACGTGTCAAGTATTTTAGATCATTATAAGCAGCATGCAATAAAAGAGCAAAAAGTATATATTGCAACAACAATAAATTATAAATTCTATCAGTCTTGCAACTCCAACTAGCAACTGGAAATATAACGAGCACTAATGCAATAACAACTACAACAACGAGATTTATCTATATCGCCATTGTTGTTGTAAGAGTACAAACACGAATTGACACCTACCTGTGGGCTCACTTGAAATTGCTGAATCGGATAGGCGACGACGCCGGCAGCTTGCGGTATTCCAGCACCAGGTACACCCGTCGCCAACTGTTGTGCAGGTGAGATTTGCGCTTGGGTGGCAACGCCTTGCCAAGTGGCGGGAATCTGTACGCCCATGCTGTAGACGAGAGCAGAGAAGAAGGCAAATTAATAAAATGTTTGTTTTTCCATAGTATTTCGAGTTGAAGAAAAACTTTAAATACAAAAACGAAAATTAAAAATGTGTCGAATAATTATTTTTTTAAGCAGAAAGTTTTCAAAAACTGTCTTATCTATGTTTTTTGTAGTCGTGATTTGGCGTACTTTTAATTTTACTAACCACAATCACAAACAACAAACATTTATGGCAGTAACACAGTGCGCAGCATTAGTATGTAGACAATTCTGTTACTCCTAATGAAAACAATTTGTCCAATTTATTTCGATGTTTGAAGTGTTTTTGTTGTTTTATATCTATATATATTTATATATGTATATACATATGTATGTATGTTTATATTATAGTATATGCATTTTTGTTTTGTTGCTGCCATCATCGCCATTGGCTGCAACTGATGCTGATGTTGATGTTGATGTTGTTAACGCAAACTGATGCAATCAACCAAAGTGTCAGCAAGCGTTACACCCACAACGCTAATAGTGGCGAAAAGTGTATACAACAGCAACTACGATCAAATGGCGAATAAAACAAATTCACCAGCTAAAGTTTAGTTTTTATTGCAACGGCGCATATGCTTACACACATACCCATATTGCTCTCCTTGTTTGTGTGTGTGTGTTGCATTGTGTGTCAACAATAATAACTGATTAAATGGTTCATAAAAAATATTTGAGACTATGCGGTTATAAAAAAAATAATATAATTATAGTCAAATATAATTACTATATGAGAGACCTCATTCTAGAATTTTTTTTTTCTACTGAAATGGCTTTAATAATAAAATATTTGTCTTCAGTTTTCCATACGAAACTTTTGTGCGAAGATTTATTTATTACGCAATTTTTTATTATTTGATTTTATTATTAACTGCAAATGTTTATAAGTATAAAGCTAGAAAGCAATTTTCTTCACGATAACCTTTAGTCTGAAGACCAAACTTTTGTTCTAAATTCTGAAATTGAATGCGTCTTTTTGAAAAAATCGAAGCATCTATAATGAGTTCGCCTTGTGAGGTTTTAAAGCTCATAATTATTATTACCAAAATAATGGTTCAGGTCGCGCAGCGTCCAATATTAGGTCAACATGATCGCCCAGCAGAGTTGGTAATTCCAACAGTAATGAATCGCAGCACGTTTAATCTAGTGGATAATGCGCATTCTCAGAGATGAACCACAGTGCGCTCTGAAGATGCAATGGCTGCTAAGGAGCAGCGTATCGTAGAAGGCCCCAATGAGTTCATACGCCATTTCGCGCAACAATTGCAGCTGTGACCATGCACTTTTTGGAAGATTTTTTGCGGAAGAATATTGTGGGTTTAAGGGCTTACAAAACTTAACTCAAGCCAGAACTGAAGCCGAACGACCCACAAGCGCAGCGCATGTTCGGTCAATGGGCCAAAACGAGATGGTCACCGATTCCGATTTTCACAAGAAATTTTTGTTCAGCGATGAAGCTCAGTTTTTGTTGAATGCGTGCGTTAGTAAACAAAATTGACGCGCTTAGAATGATTATAGTCCAAATGCCATTGCTGAGACGCCATTAGATCCTTAAAAAGTCAATGTTTGGTATTTCTTCAAAAACGAAGACGGCCATAATGTTATAGTCAATCGGGAACGCTTTTTACACGTCGTTTTTAGGCTTGAATAATTTTATGGTATTACATAATGTTTATACTACATTGCCGTTGTTACACTGTGCAAAATATCGTAGTGCCATAACCATATTCGTGAAGACTCTCACCACATAGCGCTGGACTAATAAAAGGAGCGGATGCATAAATACAGAGATGACGAACCAAAAATCCATATGAATACGAAAATCCATACGGAAACACGTATTCACGGGGTGAATAACGGTGTGCAGCGGCAATTGTAGGCAGTGAACGGTGAAAGCGGACAACGGAAAGCACTGGCTGCGCATAACTTTCGCAATTAGCGAATGAATTCAGTCAACCAATAATTTCGTCATCACTCAACGATACTCAACTGTGTGCTAGGAGGCTACAAAACGGTGAATTGGCTGTTGCAACAGTCGGTAAATGCAGTGTTGTTGCACCACGTTGTGCATGTACGTATATGAGTTGAGGGATTTGTTGCCACTTTTATTTGAGAACGAATTTGAATTACGCGGCGATAATTGGCTATTTGTCTCGCAATGAAATTGCAACAATTCTCTGCCAACAATCCGTTACTTTACGCACGCACACAGCCAAACAAATATGTTGCACACGTATCAAAACGAATTTTAAGCATTTGAAATCAATTGATCGATGGTGAGCGCCAGTAGTAGCTGTGTGCTGTATTGTATTAAAAATGCAAAAAAACAACGCAACGGAATTGCAAATAAAGCGCTGCGGCACAATGCTCGTAAGCGATTTCAAGGTAATTACAAATTTTTGTTGCATACATTACGGCGCATTGCCTACCATTAACGTCCTATCTGGCGGGCAGCGTACATATTGCTGCCAAATGGACGTTAGATGTCGATAAAGTGGCAATAACAACAACAGCGCGCGCACGTAGCGCGATTATCGCCTTCAATTATGTTAATAGCTGCAGTGTTGCACGACGCACGCGCGCTTCATTGTGTGTGCTTTCAATGGCCTTACAGCCAGAGCTGTATTTATACAAATGCGCGTATGTATGTGTGTGTGTGTGCATATATGTATATATGTGCATGTACTCACCCCATATATCCTTGCTGATAGCCACCATACTGCCCGAAATGATATCCCTGAATGCCTTGTAAGAATTGATTCTGCACCGCGGCAGCGGAGGCAGCAGCAGCCGGTGTGACAGCCGCTGTGGTCGACGAAGCGGAATATGTTGGCGTTGGCGAATACCAGCAACCGGTGGCGGCCAACTGTTGTCCATAGGCAGCGGCAGCCGCAGCTGCTGCACCCACACTATACGGGAAGCCGGCTGCAGCGGCAGCAGCTGGATTAAGCGCCTGACTGGCGATTGTCTGTGCATTATTCGGATCACCGCTCTCCTTGCCCCACGAACACTTCACAGGCTGCGCATTGATTTCCGTATTATGTACGCCGACAATTGCATGTGTGGCGGCTTCCTTGGTCGAAAAGCTGCGCGTATGCATGTGGCATAACAGTAGATAGCGGTAGTCAGCAGTCAGTGGGCAGTAGACCGCAACAATAACAACAACATTGCGCGTCAGCATGGAAGAGTAAAGTACAAAAGCAAATAATGAATTAATGGCTTTAGCAGTGTGGAGGAGTGAGCAAATCAGAGAAGTCACAGTTGGCGGTGTTTAGATGTGTGCATGTATGTAGGTGGTTAAATATGTGTGTTTGTGTACATGTGTGGGTGTAATGTTTGCCAATTATCTTAGTGCTCAAGCGTTGCTAATACTAACCGCACGAATGCGTAGCCCTTATCCTTAAAGACGCGTATCTCCTGTATCGAGCCGTACGGTGAGAAGGTCTTCTGTAGGATTTCCTCGCTGAGCGCAGTTAAGGCGCTATTGACACCACCCACATAAACGGTGCAATTTGATGGGCTGCTTTGAATGTAGACCTCGTCGAATGTTAACGGCTTGATGTTTTCTGCAAAACAAAAGGTAAATATTTATATGTATTATCGTTATGCGTTTAGATAATATGGATTATTTTTGAACAAGTTATATGATATTTTACTTTCTATTTGGGATACATTATCGATATATTCGACTGAACTTTACATTTTTTTAAAAAATATTTCGAGTACTGGCTTAACGGTATTTTTCGAGATATATGCATGTGTACATAGTATTTATAAAGTCCGTCCATAAAATACAGATGATAAAAGAAACTTATTTCTATGCCATTTTATATGCAAAGCTTGTCTTTTTTGTAGACACAAAGTTAAAGTGTTCTTAGGTAAGTTTAGCCTTATCTCACGTGTATGTATTTAGGACTTCGTTAGCAATTTTTGTAGAAGGAATTTAATTTCATACTCAAAAAGTTATATTTCTATGTCGTCTTATATGGATTCTTACTCCTTTCTCAACGAAAATTTACCTTTATGTTATTAAGAACAACGGTAAGATCGATACATCTGTTGGTAAATAGTTTGTCTCTAAAGTATTTCAAGTTATCGTAGATACAAAGTAGTATATCTAAAGTATTTCAAGTTAACGTAGATACAAAGTAGTCTGGGAGGTCCAATGACTTGTAAAGCAAATCTTATTCTCGTTACAATCGGTTGCAACAAATGTATCTTTTGGTGAGGTTAGCGATGGCATCCAGTTCAGTTAAACCTGACATTTGTTGCATTATTTTGACCAACGAAAATTGTGAGGCTTTCAGCGTGCCCTTAAGGGACTTGGACTGGGAAGATGTATGAACATTTAAAGTTTGTCTCAAATAAACAGTATAAGAAACGAATGGGAGGCCATTATGATGAACATATTTATAATCTAAAAATTTAAAACCAATATTTATTTAAACGAAGATTTTGCAGAGCTTTTTGAAACTGAACTGGTGTTCCAACTAACCGACGGGACTGAGGTTCCGTAGGTGATATTATTTTATGTCTGAGAAGGTTCAATAGGGGTATAACCTTCTGATAACATGATCGCCACCCAAGCAAACGTTGCTTGTGGATACTGCTATCCAATTTGATTGGATTTTCTTAGAGTCCTATACCTATAGCATCTGATTTCATTCCAATAAAAAGTCTAACTTCAATATGATAGTGTAGCTAATAGCTGTGATTAGTAGATTGTAGATTGGGTGGACCTTTTTTTACACTCCAAAGCAGGTACAGGGGTGCAGCCTATTACCCTTGACGCCTTTTTTACTCTTTACTCAAAAAGATAGCAGGAGTGATGAGCTGAACCCCTATAGCTGCTTTAAAGTGTGAAAGTTGAATATACTCATTGAACAGGCTGCGTAACCAGAACTATTTGGCTAAATGCTCAAACAAAATGTGCTTACTTAAGCTTTAATTGATACCTAAACCGAATTTACAGCTATGATTAAACTTGAAACCTTAAATTAACCTTTCGAATTTGAGGTCTATTTGTAAGGCTTAACCATTGAGTTTACTGATTTTTAAGCGCTTTAAAAAAATATTTTTGAAAATTTTCGAATATTTTTCACTGGTTTCATCGCGCTCGTAAATAAGTTGCAGATGTTTTTATTCTGTTACTTGAATACATGCAAAAAAGTGAAAAATATTTTGTAAAACTGAAAACAATTTCATCAAATATGCACCGTCAACATTTTTAATGAAATTTTCAATATAATTACCACATCATTGAAAATGCAAAGGGCAACACAACAAGCATATTAGTAACTGTACGAAATTGAGTATAAATATTAAGCTTGCCAAAGCTGGATATAGATACCCCTATATTAAAACTTTTATAAAGTTGCAAATCACATTAAAAATTTATGACTATAAAAGCATGCAGCAGCACAAATGACACACACAAACATAGACGTATACATATATACATATATTATATATATATTTTGAACATGTACAAGGGAGGCCGTATGACTGCAGTTGTTGGCGCGGAAATGGACTAATTAGTCCTTTTCAGGTTAAAACGAAATTTGCACTATTTAAAAAAGGAAAAAAGAAAATAATGTCAACATCGCGTGTTTATTGCTCAATATGTTTGCGCGCGTATGTTTCCTTATGCTGTTGTTATAAATATTCTATTATACATGCTTTGGCTGTAGTAAACGCCAGTGCATTCCCCGGACTGGTTCCATATTAGCAAATTACACCTAGTACGAGGGTGGTTGCAGAAGTGTAGAAATGCGCTAATCGTGTATTTCCTTCATAAAAAAAAGAACAACTCGAGCGCATTAGATTAGAAAACCTGTCAAAAATCTTTATGTCAAATATTGTTCCCTCTACAAATAGTTAAGCTTTATCTGAGTTTTTTTTTTTAGAGAAGTTGTTTGTCAAAGCTTGTTGATTGAAATTCCAGAAATTTATAGTATGCTATTTAGTATTGTCTGTCGTTAAGGACCTGCGGAGTATGTCAAAGGGTCATGCATGAATTAGCTTTGATCATTATTATACAAAGGTCTTTGATAATTTTTGAAATAATTGTTGTATTTTATAGAGCTAAGAACCTTGTCAGGGAACCCTATTGATTTTCCGAATATCACCTTGCGCGAATTAGAATGAGTTTGTTTCGATCTCTGGTCGAATTGTGGCAAAAGTCACTTCATTATTATTATTCTTGACTGCTGACGTTACACAGAGATATATATTTCTCTGTCAGTTTGTCACAAACTTCATGAACCTTGACATAATATATATCTTCACTATCAGTAACGTATCCACTAATTCTGAAAATTTAGTAACAAATTATTTTTAGATTATGTTGAATGAAGTATTTTGATGAGGAGCTTAAATATATATATGATACAATAGCGGTATTTAAATTATTTCCGTATAAACAATTTATTTTGCAAATTTTGTGAAAAATAAATAGTTTTAGAGTTCTGTAAATGTTAATTAAATAATTTTTATTGATGTTTCTCGACTAGGAGATGTCACTCAACTTGCCTTTATTTAAATTCCTTGCTGCATTCGAGGCATTGTTTGAACCATCCCTATAACTTTTGACCCAAAACCCCCAAGTCTACCATTTGTCGCCATACATTTTATTGTGCTGCAGCAAACCTTAGTTGTAAGGACAATAATTACCTTGCAAAAACAACACATAAACAAAGTGAATAAAAAGAAAAAAAATTAGAAGTAACAATAACGGCGACAATAAATGCGGCGCATACGAGTGGAATTACTACAAAGCATGCAACAGGGCTTTTTTCATGCAACTTCTCTGCCTCTGAACACAGCGACACAGTATGGTTGTTATAATGTGCTAATGCCTGTCGGTGTAAAAATCTCATGACAAGCGCTCATAGGACGTAGCAAAGCAAAAAAAGAAAGATTATAACAAAGAACAGCAAATATTTCTATACGCTCGTATAAATACCTTCATAACAAGGTTGAAATTTATTTAACGCTATATATATATATACAGATACAGACACACACATACGAAGATTCAGCGAATGGTGAAAAGAATGCAATGTACTGTTAGTTTGTTTACTGTTGTTTTGGTTTGCTTTGATGCAGTTGCCATCTGTATGAACCGTTATTTGCACTGGCTGCAGCCACCACATGAACAATGTACAAAATAAAACATTGTACAACAATAATTAAAATATTTGCCACTTTTGGAGTTAGTGTTGACTGTACTGCTGCTAGTTTCTTCCTCTTCTACACTGCGACACAATTTACACAACATTTTTCTGACTACTTCAAATTGCTGGCGCCATTTTAGGTATATTATTTATATATATTATATTTAGAACAGTTGGACTTTATGTCATGCAAGTTTATACTAAATGTATCTTTTGATATCTAAATTTAAAAAAAAGCCGCCAATTTAGGTGTCAATGCTTTTATGAGTTTAAAACTTTCTTAAAAGCAACGGGTATTGCAAAACTAGTCCCCATAATCACATTACGAGAATACTTAACAACAGTGCTATATTCCCCTCTAATCCATATGCTTCTACGTAAAAAATTCACCTAAAATTATTAGTTTTGCAGTATTTTGTTCCTCTCAAATTCAGTTGAATTTACAGCAGCATACTTGTTTAGAGTAGGTTTGATAAGCAGTTATGAATTTTGTATTTGTTGCAAACCAAATATTTGAACAAACATACTCTTTTCAACCTGTTAAAAAAGCATAATAACTTTTCCCCTCATTAAAGATCAGGTTATTGGCTTGAAAATAACAAGCCTTGAGTTGCAGTACTTTCAAAAAATAACGTTTTGGTTTTACAAAGTGTACGTAGCGTTTATTGGCAAAAAAGTTGTAATTATACAAAGTGTTATATTTTGTTATAGCTAACGATTATTCAAAACTTTCTCCCCTCTTCCGCGTTGTATATTATAGCCTGACATATTTGATGGCAACTTGCAACTAAAACTTCCGCATATCCCACAGAAAGCGATCTCCAGGTATATTGGAGGAGCCGAATGAAATCTTTTATTGTCGTTAAATGTTTGCTTGATATTATTGGTTCCTTAAAAGCCCAGATTTTCTTCATTAGATTGGCGTCTGGTGACTATGATGGCCAATCTAAAGTAACAATAAGGTTTTCTTGTTTCCATTGAGTACGGAGTCTGCTCCTAGGTTTCGAATCATTGTATTCTTGCAGTATCCAATCATGGTTATCTTTGTAGTAGGGCATTTCAGCCGACTCCAGTAAACCTTTTTCATACATTTTTATTATTCTAACGGCGTTCTTGCTTGTGAAGCACTTGGCTCATATATAAATATTACATTGCTCCAATCACGGTTGATGTTTTACTGACTCCAATGTAACCTTTGTTCAATGTGTGAAAGTTTTGAAAGTAGGGGTTTGTCTGCAATACTGTTACGTTTTAAGTCTGTTCCGTATTTTATTAATCGTTTTATCAAATCCTTTTTTAAACAAATTTTTTTATAGCTTTTCTTAGACTGAGCAGTGGTTTCTCCTCAAAAAGAATAACAATAGCTTCGTCCTCACTTTTAAATGTCACGT